TCGACACAAGTTCGCGGGTTTGCTGCAACGGTTGATCGGGTCGGGGTGTTCGTGCTCCCGGACCTCCACTCCTGGGGCTGATCTTTGATCACTGGAGCCAATTGCAAGCCACTTCGGGCTCTGCGTGCTCCCAGAGTCAATTCCCCACATCCTGTTTGGGGGTCGTGGAAGAAGCACAAAAGCACACACACACACACAAAACACACTAACAACAGCACAACGTGTGCGTTTTGTTCCCTGATAGCGCGTCGCTAAAGGGTTCGACTACTTGAGGTAAGAGGACCACAGAAGAGTCCTACGGGAGGGAAGGGGGAGCTCTAGACCGCCCTGTCCGGCACGGTCCAGCGGCGTTTCCGTCGGATCACGTTAGGGCATTTGCTTGTGGCCCCAGGAAGACTTATCGGAGAACCGAAGGCTCGAGTTCGCACGAACTCGGTTCCGCTGGCGCTTTTTGACAAGCCCGTCCTGGATTTTGACGGCCAGTCTTCGTGGGATGTTTGCAGCGGGAGGTTGCTTCAGATTTTAGATTGGGTCTCGTCGTTTTCCTGACGGTCTCGTCAGGCCAACCCGAGCCCCTCGAACCCGAGTCTGACGTCTCCCCGAATTTAGGATGATCTCGTGCGGAATTAAAGGACGGCAAGAACGAACGCGACGGCTGTAGGGGGCTTCCAGCGTTTGTCTGGAATCGTTGACTGGGGGTATGAGCGTGTGTGGAGCCTACGAAGCTTGGGCAGCATGCCAGAGACCTCGAAGCGTTCTTGGAGACTCGTGGCTGGAGTTGTTACTTCAGCCACCGTCTGTGGCTGTCAGCAGGGCTCTCTTTGCCGCAACGGCTGGCTTCGGATCTGGACAGCAGTCAGGCATACCGAAACGACAACAGTCAAACATGGCAAACAGAAGGTCGACTACGGAGAAGTCGAAGCGATGAGCCACACTTCTGTCCGTCAAGAGCTCTGTGGCAGTCACGACGCAGTGCCCAGACATGGTAAGGAACAGTTCAAGCGATGTGTTTTTCGGAGGCCGTTTGGGGCAATTTGGAACGATCTTGGAGCCTCTGGGGGTTTGTTAGGCCGCCTCTGGATGGTCTTGGGACGTTCTTTAAATGTTTGGGGGCGGTCTTCGGCCCTCTTGGAGTCATCGATCGGTCGAAGAGGGCGCCGGGAAGCAAAACTAGGGTGGACGGTTTTCGCAGGACGCCCGTCCTTGCGGGGAGGTCGGCCCTGCAAAATTCAGCAACCCTGCCAGGAAACCAACAGGCACTCCACCACGTGCCAACGTGCCGCTGGCATGGTGGCGGATTTCATCTTCCAACAGCATGGGTTCCAGCTCCTCCTCGCTATCCTCACGTTCGCCACGTCGTCCTCGTCATCGACTCCTCGTTGTCCTCGCCTTCCTTCTCTTCTTCGCCCAATACGCCCATTTGACTACAGCGGCGCTTCCCGTTCTTGTCCGATCAGGTTTCATCTTCCAACAGCATGGGTGGAACCCGACGGGTGGAAGGCCTCTGTGGAACCCATCGGCGGCAACCGTCAGAACTATGCACAGCGCCCTCTGGCAACCACCAGAGCTCTCGGGGCAGCAACCGCCAGGGCCCAGCACAACGGGACATACCTTCAGAAAGCAAGCGAGAAAGAAACCCTTGGTGCAGCACGCATTGTAGCCACTCGGGAAAAAACACGCCTTCATACGTTTTGCGACTTCGGTGTCAATCCCTCCAACTCTGGACGCTTCGCGCATTCAGAAACGACGCGCACGCACCGCCTGCAAGCGCGGGGGCGGATGTCTCCGGAGGCTGTCGCCCGCCTCCCCTCGGGCCTCGCCCCCGAGGCGCTCGCGAGCGCGCCGAGCGGCGGCGAAGCACGCAGCCTGCGGGCCGCCGCCTCGGGCGGCGCCGCGGCGCCGCGGCGCCGCCGCCGCCGAGCCAGCGGCGGCGCCGCGGCGCCGCCCGAGGAGGCGGCCCGCAGGCTGCGTGCTTCGCCGCCGCTCGGCACACTCGCGAGCGCCTCGGGGGCGAGGCCCGAGAGCAGGCGGGTGACAACCTCCCCGGAGATATCCGCCCCCGCGCTTGCAGGCGGTTCGCGCGCGTGGGGCCCTGGCTTTTTCCCTACGTATTCGGCCACCAGCTCATCCAGAGACGACGCCTAGGGGAGCTTTCTTGGCCTCGGAAGTGGCAGTGTACTTGCGCCATCTTGGGGCCCTCTCGGTGCAATTATGAAGGCCTTTGGGGCTCTCTTGGGGCTTTTCGGGCCCTCCTGTGGCGATCCAGGAGACCATCGATCAGAAAGGGGGGTATTCAATTCATTCAATTCACGCCCCCACCCGTCGGAGGCCGACAAATCATCGCTTGGAGCCTTCCTAGGACTTACGATGCTCTTCGGGCGTTCTGGTGTGCTCTTGGGGCCGTCTTGGAGCTCTTCTGGGTCCTTCTTGGGGCTGTCAGCCACGTTGAGGCCTCAGAGACCCATTGGATTCGAAAGGGCGAGACGGCCAAAAGCAGTGCAACACATGTATGCTTGCATGTGATTAGTTTCTGGGGAATCGCAGTGGAGGTCTTCGGGGCTACTTGGAGCAGTCTTTGGGCTGTCCTGGGGCCTCCTGGGGGCACGGTGGAGGCCATCTTGAGCCATTGTGGATCGTACGGCTCCATCTTGGAAACATCTTACGGCGCCTGGGACCATTTTAGAGCAAATTGTGCCCAGAAGCCTCCCAGGGATGCCTAACAAAGGCTAGAATCAAACAACAAAACAGTTGGTTTTGCAATGATTCGTCTTCAAGCGAAGGGGGGTCCTTGATTACATGCCGAACAATCGTTTCGTGAGCCCCCTTGGGGCGCTCCTAGGGCGGTCTTGTGCGCTTTGGTGGCCGTCTTGGACCTCTCCTGGGCATTTCTTGGGACTCTCTTGTGCGATGTTTGAGCCATCCTGAGGCCTCAGAAGCCCATCGGGAGCGAAATGCCGAGAAAGCACACGTCATTCAAAACTTGTTGTTCGCTTTGCAACTTCCGATTGGGGTTATCGTTGGGAGGTTCGGTGCCCCATTGGAGCCGCCGCCTGACGGTCTTGGGGCATCTGGGCGGCATGTCGAAGGTCGTCCTGAGCTTTCTTGTGGCATCTGGGCCCTCTTGGGGCCGTCTTGGTCGCTTTAACGCGTCTGGCGTCGTGCTTCGTTAGCAGTAGAAGGAACAAAACAGAGTTCCAGCGGATCCCTCCTCCTCCCCACCGCCCTCTGCAGCCGTTTTATCTCGTTGTATTGTTTTTACGTGTTGTTTTTACGTATTGTTTTTACGTGTTGTTTCCTTCTCACGTTTACGTATTGTTTTTACGTATTGTTTTTGCGTGCCGTTTTTTCCTCACGATTAGATTAAACCCTCCCTTCTGCAGCCGTTTTCTCTCGAGAGCGTCGGCCCGAGGCCCCAGGAGCCCGGCGCCGCTCTGAGCACCAAAGAAACGCCCTCACCCCGCCCACCGGGGCCAGCTCGGAGGAGGGGGGGTACGCGCGGCACCACAGCACCACCACCAGCAGGGGGCCCACCTCCAGCGAGGGGCTCCACGACGCCGCCCCGATCCGGGCACACAGGATGCCTCGAGCGAGAGACGGCGGGGGGGGGCACACCACCAGGAGGACCACCCCCTGCCTCCTCGCCGTGGTGGTGGTGGTGGTGGTGGTGGTGGTGGTGGTGGTGGTGGTGGTGGTGGTGGTGGTGTCGCTCTTCCTCGTCTCGACAAGGGGATCGACTGACTGCAGCAGTGATGTACCCCAGAAGCTGACTTTGGCGCTGACTGCACGGCCAGGTGCGTAGAACGCTCCGTAGATCCAGGGAGCACTCCACGCTGTTCACACGGGCTCGACACCAAACGTCAATTCTGTAGTCGGTCCCCTCCTCGATCCCTCCCGGCCCTCCAGCTCGGAGGATGCCCGCCACGCCGCCCGCCAGGCTCGCGCTGCTGCTGCCGCTGCTGCTGGGCGGCTGCTGCCCCCCCTGCGCCCGGGCTGCCAAGCCCGTGGGCCTCGCGAGCGCCCTCGACGAGCGCGCCGGCCGCCCGGGGAGGCGCCCGAGGCTCATGAGGAACGAGGGCTCGCTCCAGGAGAGCCAGGGCGTCCTGGCCCATCTCCCCTGGTGAGCCTATCCTTTTTCCACTCTGCTCCGTCTCTCTTCTCCCCCTCCGGCACTCCGTCACACCATGTCTTGGCATCGCTCGGACGTGCGCATTCTTCATGGGCGGGGACACCATCGAGGAGCACCCTGGATCAGCTTGCGCAAAAAAAGCACGCACGAAACCAACAAAAATCACGGGGAATGGACGTCCGAGCGAGGATTTCTCGCTGCGCCGTTCGTTCCGACGCGCGGCCTTACGTCTTGGGGAGAGCGCCTCGGCCACCAGGGCAAGCTCCGCCTCAGACGCAGGGTTTGCCGTGGTGTCTGTGTCGTCCACTTGAGCGCGTCGAGAACAAACAGCGCGGCGACATATTTTTCTGAGTTGCACTTGGTTCTCTCCGGGACTCTTTCCGCTTGCCCATCCGAGTCATGTTGCACGGCGCTGCGGGCTTCGCTCCACGCAAAAAACAAGAAACATTCCAGGAGGAGCTCTCCGACGACCTGCCGGACGGTAAACGCGTAGTGAAGAGCGGGGACGTCCAGCACGTGACGAGCGCTGTGCGCCGCGACAAGGACCGCCTGGCCGATCTCGCGTCGCAGGCGCCGAACAGCAAAACTGCACGCGTGCTCCGGATTACATGATACAACACCGTTTTTTAATACATGCTCCGCGTGCGGATCATGTAAAAAAAGTGCAGGGACTCAGTACTAAAATCAACGATGAGTTCATGCACAAATTTATTCAGGAATTAATCATGTATTTGAATCCTATATTTTTACACATCCCATGTATCAAAAACTGCCCCGTAGAGCGTGGAGGGGGGGGTTACATTTGGGGAGTGGTCTGCTCCGAGTTGTCCTGGCGGGTTCGGGGGGGGTCTGGGCGACATGCCGCCCTCTCGTGGCTGGTCTGGGCGGGGTCTAGAACTGCTCGTCTGGGAGGGCTGCGACCCCCCCCCACCTTAGCACGACTCGGGGGTGGACGGACCTCCCACTTTGGCATGACTCGGGGGCGGACAGACCTCCCACCCTGGCACGTCGATCAAGGAATTGGCCGTTTCCGGTTCGCGAGAGGGCGTCGCGGCCGTCATTTTTGCGGGTCCAGGTCCGTCGGTTCCGGTCCCAGGCCGTTTTCACGAAAGGGAGGTTTACCAAAGGGAGGATTGTCCACCGCCGAAGGACATCCGGAGTGACCGTCCGTGCAGGTGCGGAGGTCTGCGCGGAGTTCTCGGCTCGGCGCTGGGGCCCCCCTGGCGGCGTGCCGCCCCTGGCGCGCTCCGCGCGCCAGGCGGGGGGTGTCCAGCGCCAGTCTGAGAACTCCGCGCGGACCTCCGACAGCTGATGTTCGTGCAATTTGTTGTTCCTCTGAGGCGAGCTCAACCTACAACACCGGGTTGGGGCTGGAGGAGGTCCTCGCGCACTACAAGCAGATGCTCGAGACTGGCGCGGCCGCCAGCGAGCTGGCGTCGGGCCTGAAGGCGATCCAGGACCACCACAGCGCGTGGAAGGACTCGGTGGTGCTCAGGGGAGGCCAAACGTACCCCAGAGCAGTCGTATCCTGGAGAGGGGGCCGCAGGGCCAACCTCGGGGCGCCCAACGGCTGCGTTTTGGCACCCACCGTGGCTGGAGCAGTGGCCCGACACGTCGTCCTGGAGGTACGCATGTGCCTTCCCAAGGTACAGGCCAGGGGCGCCATCGAGAGCTTCAAGACGGCTAGGGACGGCCTGGAGGACCCAGCCACGCGCAGAGGGGGAGGGGAGAGGGGAGAGGGCTTCTCACAGTCAAAACTCATACCAAGAACGCACGGATGTTCTTTGGGTGCCCTTGCGTCCGTGCTTCTGCGGCCCGTCCTTCGCGGTTTTCAGTGGCTACGTAGCCTCTCAGGGTGTTGCCAACACCCCGAGGGGCTGCCAACACCGTGCCAACACCGAGTTGGCAGCCCGCCGCCCCGAAAGTGCCAACCGCCCGTTCTTACTATAGACTTCGACTGTAGAAGCACCCGTGTTTCGTAGAAGGCGCGGGCCTGATCTGTAGATGTAGGGCCGGCTCCTTCTCAGAAGCAGCCTCCTTCTGAGAAGCTTTCCCCCCATACCCCATACCCCCCGTGTGCTCGCCGCCACAGGACGCGATCAAGGTCTACGGCGACACGCTCGAGGAGCGGTGACGCCCCAACGTCGGGCTCAGCGATCAGCGCGCCCGTTCCCGTGCCGCGAGGACCGAGGCCGCCTCCCCGCGGCCACCAGCATGGCCTGCCCCTCCGTTTCACCCTCCCCCTCCTCCTCCTCCTCCTCCTCCTCCTCCTCCTCCTCCTCCTCCTCCGCCTCCTCCGTAGCCATTGTGGCGCGAGATGTCTCTACCCCAGCGGTGTCCACTGGATACCGCTGGGCCGCGGCCAGCTTTCGACTTCTTCACGCCACAGCCACGGGCTTGCGGACGCCAGCTTCCATATTCCGCCCTCATACTTCTGTGTGCTGTGGCCTACATATTCCCCGCTGCGCCTGATCGAGCTGCTGCTGCGTGCCCGCGGTCATGATGCCAAACGTCGAAGTCGCAGTTGCCAATCAAGACGGGAAAGGCCCAGATCCATGGCACCATGCAGCAGCCAAACTTTAAGTGCAAGAACTGCCAGTTCACCTCGCAAGCAGCTCAAGGAAGCGCTCTCCGCCCAGCCCTAAACGGCAGCCCACGAGTTCGAGAACACCGCCAAGGCCGTCGTGGAGTCGGCGCGCACCCAGTTCCTCTCTTCCATCACGGCCATTGCTGCCGATCTCAGCGCAAAGCATGAGCGGACCGTGCGAGAGCTCCAGGACACCAAAGCCAGGATCGCCGCCACCGAGACCGCTACTCGAGAACTGCGCGAATCTGTCAGCAAGCTTCAAAAGATCGTGGGCGACGCCGAGTTTCGCAACCCCAGCATCGACGTGGCCAACCTCGGGACCTGGGACTGCACCGCGGACCCATGCGCGTTTTGGTGCGGCGCCTCCACCGCCTTCGGCATTGACGATGCCAAGACATCGTTGGCGCAGTGGCTCGAGGACGCCAACACCACATATGAGTACATTTCGTTCGACACCACGGGCCGTGCCAACGCCGCAGCTTCACCCTTACTGGCGGCACAGTGGAGGCTGAACCGCGAGCAAGGCGACTTCGCGAAGTACTTCATGTTGGACGCGTTTGGCGTGATTGCAATGTATCAATTGGTGGTGCTGCTCCTATTGTGCTATGCGTCTCGGCCGATACGAGTCTGCGCGCAGTCGGTCGCGAAGTGCAGCTCAAGCGACTCGCCACCCTCATCAACTCTCATCAACCAGCGCTTCGACCAATACACCCTCTGCCTCCACAGGAGCCAGGGCTACATATCATACCGAAGCGAGGTGCTGGTTCAATTGCTTGTTGGTGGTATTCCTGACGGGCCAACCACACTGCGGTGGACTGTTGCTGCAGAACGCCTCGGAATCACCGACCAACAATAGACCAACGTCCGCGTCGCCTTCGAGTCCAGCTTCTCCGACGCCCTGGCCTCCGCACGCTGGCTTTAGCCCACGCTGGGCCCCCTGGCTGAGCAGCCCCAACGAGCACGGCATGAACGTCGCCTTCTGGAACGCCCGGGCACTCCATGGAGTCTCTGACCAGCGCCGCCACGACAAACGCCGATTGCTCAAGCCACTGCTACGCCAGCGGGCCCTGATCGCGCTGCAGGAGACACGGAGCCGCCATCGACACGGACATCCTCGCGCGCTCCACGCAGCACAAGTACCTCGCCTTCCACTCCGGCGTCCCGAACTCCACCGTCGCTGGCGGCATTGGCTTTCTCGTCCCATACGATCAGGTCGAGCTAAGCCGCCCTCCTGACGAGTGCCCTTCGCGGACCTTCGCAGAGATCGTTCCAGGGCGAGCAGCGCGGCTCGGAATTGCTGACATCAGTCGCACCTACGACGTCACCGTGCTGAACATCCACATTCACGAACTCTCGCCCAACGACCGCCACGCGATCCGACAACAATGGCAACAGATTTGACAACTCGCTGCTGAAGATCCCCTTCAGCGCACCTTCAGCATGCCGGGCGACACGACCCGAAGCAAATCAACGCGGCGATCAATTCCAGGGCGATCGAAGCTCAGCGTCACCAGTGCCAACCCGCCTCCCCGAATCACCTGGTCCAGGACATGCTCGAGATCGCGACCTTCCCCGCCGCCCGCAGAGCCGCGGCCGCCCTCTCGGAAAGCTTCGCTCCGTTCCCGCCCCACGACGTTCCCCTCATGGATATCGCGCTGAACGCTGGCGACCTCTCATCTTGAAGGCCCCAGCGGGATGATCGGCGATCGCAAGATCACGCAGCCCCGCGCCCGCCCTGCCCGAAGCCGTCCGACTCATGAGCAAGCTAGCTGTCCCAGCCCTCATCTTCGACTTGCCCCGCTGCGCCCGCCACTACACGATCCTCGCCGAGGCCAATGGCATGACTCAGCTTGCCGCTGTACACCAATGGCGCTGCCAGAAATCGCCGACGCATGAAACAGCGCGCCGCGCGCGCGCGACGCTTTGTCCCCCATCCCCACCGCCGAGCTCGAATCGCAGAATGGCAACGTCAGCAAGGGGGTTCGCGACATGATTCGCTTGGGCCACATGGCATCAAGACGCGACTCTCGCGAGGGAGCTCGCCGACAGCGCGGACGTCGGCCACGAGCACCTCGAGACCGACGGCCGCGCCGTCGAGCTGCTGGGCCCGCGCGCTTTCGCCCGGAAGACCACCGAGACCCGCGCCAGCCTGAGCGAAGAACGACGCGCGCGCGCGCTGCTGCTAGTTCTCGCACCGCCCGCGCCCAGCGCAAAGTCGCTCGCGGTGACCGATGGCGCCAACGCTCCAGACGAAGCCCGCATAGGTGAAATCTGGTAGCCGTTTGCGCGCCGCCTGGTCCTCGCCGGCATCGAGATCGAGACGGGCGCCGCCTCCGTGACAGTCTACGAGCCGAGCAGGATGCACGTGGCCATCAGTACGCCTGTCTTCGCCGCCAAGTCGGTCTCCGACTCAGACATTGCCTGCTACCTCGGCTGCGCATCTCTTCCTCTTCCTGGCGAAGATGAACTGTTTCAAGTGGCGCGACGAGCTGGCGACCCAGCTCCAGGGACTGACGGGCTGCCCTGCCGCGAATGGATCCGCGCACCTGGCGCGTTGCCCATTCGTGCCAATCTTGCAAATCGCGCGGTGGACAACGGAGCGCCGCGCGACCTCAACCGTGCCCGGATGGGCATGCCCCCGAAATGTGGCAACTCGCGTCCGACGTGAACCTCGCCATCGCAAAGGTCGCCGCCAACACCTCTGAGGAGCAAGAGGGCTTTGTCACAGGCCGCCAGTTCCTCCGCAACGTCGTGGTGGTAGATGCCGAGGCCCGCAAGCTCAGCACTACTGCTGATGCGGAGTCCCGCGCGCCCGTCTTCGCCCCCGTGGATCTCGCCGCGGCCTTCCCGTCATTCAACCGCCAATGGATGCGGGCCGTGCCTGGTCGATGGGGCATCGGCGACGGCGCGCGGAGGCTGCTCCAGACGGTCTACACCCACCCGCTTTCCCTCCTGTCGCTCGGAGGCGCCCTCCGCCCACTGCATTTTGCCGACTCGGGGGCGGCGCAAGGGCGCCCGCTCAGTGGCGCGATCTGGACGCTCATCTTCGACCCCGTCGACCGCGCGATCGCCGGCGAGCTCGACGCCATCCAGCGCGGCCCGGTTAGCGCATGCGCCGGCGACGTTGGCATCATTCTCCGGCGCCTTCACGACATTCAACATCTACTCCCTCATCTTTTTGCGGCCGACAAACTTGCGGGACTTCAATTTCAAGCTAGGAAGCGCATTCTCGCCCCGACCTGGGCGCTGCCGACGCCAGACCTGGCCGACGCGATGCAGACTGTCCTCGCCAACATCCACACGCCCTGGAAGCGTTTCACAATCGCCGACAAGGCACGCTACCTAGGCGTCTTTGTCGGGCCAGGCGCTAGTCTACTTGGGCAGTGGCGTGGGCCAGCTGCCACATGGTGGGATCGCATGCTCAAGCTCGCCGGCTCGCACGCACCGCTCCAGCAAAGCATCGAGCCCTACAACGCCGCCGCCGTCACGTGTCTCTAGCATGTGGGCCAGCTGTGCGAACCGCCCGCTACCCTCCTCTCCAAGGAGCACCAGGGCACCCACAAGCTTCTCCGCGTGGCGCCCAATTTCTTCGCCAAGTCCAACATATTCGACATGACCTCTTGGGCCAACATCGAGACACCGAATGACATCGAGCTCTTGCTATCTGCCGCGCTGTGGCGCACCGCCGCCAAGACGATCACTGGCTGGAGCAAGTGGTTCAACGACCTCCGCGCCGCCGCCTGCCGCAACCTTGACATCGCGACAGTGCAGAGCGGCAGGTGGTGCGCCACATGATGGTCCGTTCCTACTGCTATCGCCCAGCGCCCCGCCGACGTCACCATTTCCACCCGCTTCGCCAAGACGGCGAGCTCCCACTTCAAGCGTCTCGTCCGATCGCTGGGCACCGCAGCGCGTGCAACTGGTGCCCTCGTCGCGGCCTACAAGCGCGCCGCTCGCCGCGGCGCCGCCGCGCCCCTCGACCAGCGCGACCCGCGCGATGAGCTCGCCTCCCGCAAGTGCTCGCCGCAGAAGGCGCGCCTGCTTGCCCTGCGCGAGCGCCTCCTCCTGACATACCGCGCACGGCCATCAATAATCGCCTGCAGGCATGCTCGGCTCCTTCGGCCGCCGCCTCCCGCGCGCCGCCGAAACCCCGCTGTCCGACGCGCGCGGCAAGCCCGTGAGCGCCTTCAACACCGCGCGGCGCCCTGGTCTGGCGCTGACCCCCCGACATCATCCTGGGCGGCCCCGCCGTGGACAACGAGCGCGACAGGGCCCCTAGCGCGCCGCCCACGTCAATTGCGTCCTCCGCCACGACATGGTCGCCGCGCTGCACCGCTCGAACGCCCAGCGCCGCCGCCTCGCCGAGCAAACCTGCGAGAATGCATGGGCCCTGGTCGGCGAACTTTGCGCGCGATTCTGCGTGGGAACAGCGCCAGCGGGCATTTCGACACCACGCCACTGCGGAACCCCGTGCTCGGCGTCGCGGGGTCCGCAGCCAACGCGAACTATTTCCCGCTGATGGCGACCCCGCGATCGAGCCTGACGATGACGATCGCGATGAAGAGGCCGCGCTGGGCGCCCCAGACCTAATCCAGATGAGCGTAGTGCCGACCGATCTCCCCGGACGCCGGGCCCGCTTCCGTAAGTTCCTGGCCGCGCAACCTCCAGCCATAACGTGGGCGATTCTCAAGACGCTGACTGGCGCCTGGCCCACCACCGACCGCATGCGCGTCCTCCCGCAGAAGCGCAAGTGCATCTTCGGCTGCATGGCCGCCGATGCAACCCAACGCCATCTTCAACGTGGCAAGCTCTTGCACCGCGTCGCCTATCCGCGCGGCCTGCTGAGCGATGACGTCCTCGCGCGCCTCGCCCTGTCTGACATGGCGGTGGGGTACGAGAACGGCATCGTGAGTTCAGCCATCCGCCTAGGCGTCGCGACCAGGCGCTACGCGATGATGAAGGACCCCCCGAGCTCCGCAGGCGACCCGAACACGTTTTACCAGGCCACCGTCACGCGCGTCACGCGCTTCGCCTGCCCGCTGATCTGAGCGGCGGCGCTGGGCGCGCGTCGGCGCCGCAGCGCGGCTAGCTGAGGAAGACTAAGCGTGCGCAAGGGGACGTTCGCTCATCTTCCTCGCGCCTCCTCCTCCTCGCTCCTCCGCGTCCTCCTCTTCCTTGCTTCCCGCTCCTCCTCCTCCTCCTCCTCCTCCTCCTCCTCCTCCTCCTCCTCCTCCTCCTCCTCCTCCTCCTCCTCCTCCTCCTCCTCCTCCTCCTCCCCCTCCCCTCCCCTCCCCCTCCCCTCTCCTCCTCGCTTCTCCCACCCCGCTCCTCCTCCTCACCCCTCGCTCCTTGCTCCTCGTTCCTCGTTCCTCTTCCTCCTCCTCCTCCTCCTCCTCCTCCTCCTCCTCCTTTCGATCCTTTCGATATCGGTCCTGTGCCCACCGTCGGCTGGCGTGACCGCTGAGGGGGCAGGTCCTCCATCCTGCCATCCTCCGATCCGATCCCGCCCACCCACCTCGAACAGGTAGAGGTGGAAGATGGCCCCTTCAGAGGGGGTCGACGTCGTAGTCGCCCACGTCGTCGATGTCGAACTGTGGCCTAATCCCTCGCCGCGCGGGGGGGGCCGCGGCCTGGGCCTACTCCCTCGCCATGCAGGGGTGGCGTCTGCGAGCCTCCAGCCGAAGGTGCCGAAGGCGAGCGCGACGACCTTGGGCCTACCCCCTCGCCCTGCAGGGGGGGTCGCCGTAGGGCCTATCCCCTCGCCCTGCAGGGCTGTCGTCGTCCTCTGTGTCCGTGATCTCGCCGTCGTGCTCGGACCAGTCGGCGGCTTCGCCGAAAACGTGCTCTAGGCGGTCGTCGCACATAATAACTGCCTGCTTGAAGTCCTGATCTTCGACCTCGTACGACGCCGTGAAGGTCAGCATGATGCCGTCGTCGCCGTCGTTGCACGAGCCGTTGAGTCGCACCATTACGCCCGTCGCCTGCTGCACACAGGTGACATTCACGCTGTCCTTTCCGAAGATGAAGTCCCTCTACGGGAAATCCTCGGAGACCCCCTCGGTTTCGACGGGGATTGCTTGCACTCGGAGGCGGCGCGGGCGATGACGAGGTGTGTGCCCAGCGCTGGACTTGCCCAGCTCCTCGCTGGTCTCGCAGCGCTGCCCTTCGTCGTCCTCCGCATTGTGGACATCCGCACGGCCAGAACTGCGGCGAGCTCCGTCTCCATCCCGTGGAACACCTTCTATGCGTTGATTGTGGCAGCGCACCAGGAGCCCCTGAAGACGTGCGATCGTGCCATTTTGTGCCTCGACTAAACTCTGGTAAACTCCCAGCTGCTCGTCGTATGCCTCGCGTGCGCAGGGGAGCATCTTCGGGATGTCCAGAACAATGGGAGCGGGCTCCGAGCAGCTCGTGCCCTTGCCGAACGCTGTTTGTCCAGGGACGGACTCGAGGGAATCTGAATGAAAGCCAAAGGAAGATGTGGCACGATCGCCTGCAGCGGCGCTGTCGGCAGATTGGCACACAGTCTGGCCCGTGCGCTTGCCCTTGGAGCCCGTGGCCTCGCGCAGCACGTCCTCTAACTATTCGTCGATGCCCACACGGCTTATGTGGCGAACGATGTTGTACGCGTAGTCGAGGCGTACCAGCTTGTTCTTGGTAGCTGGTGAAAGCCGCTCACTGTTCCGAGCCGCGACTGCCAGGCCTTAGAACTTGCGCCCTGAAACGTCCGATAAGCCTCGAAGCAGCCTGCCGCGGAGATCGTACAGGAGCAGGTGGGGCGAGAGCGGCGAAGACATGATGCCACAGAAGTAACTCGAGATTGTACAGTCGGTGCCGTGCCTGGAAGTTAGACAGCTGCCTTGAGCCAAACAATGGCTACGGACTGTTCCTCCTCCTCCTCCTCCTCCTCCTCCACCTCCTCCTCCTCCTCCTCCTCCTCCTCCTCCTCCTCCTCCTCCCCTCTCCTCCTCGCTTCTCCCTCCCCGCTCCTCCTCCTCACCCCTCGCTCCTTGCTCCTCGCTCCTCGGTCCTCTTCCTCCTCATCCTCCTCCTCCTTTCCTTCCTCCTCCTCCTCCTCCTCCTCCTCGCTCCTCTGCCCCCCTCCTCCTCTTCCTCCTCCTCCTCCTCTCCTCCTCCTCCTCCTCCTTCTCCTCCTCCTCCTCCTCCTCCTCCTCCTCCTCGCTCCTCCTCTCCTCCTCCTCCTCGCTCCTGGCTCCTCGCTCCTCCTCCCCCCCTCCTCCATCTCATCATCATTCCTCCCTTCCTCATCTTTCCTCCACCCCATCCTCTTCTTCATTCGGGGACTACGATGATGGGGAGGTCGGCTGGGTGCGGGCTCATAGAGCCCTAGTATTGTCCTACGGTGGGGGCGTTGGTTAAGGAATGTGCCGGGGAGGCTTCAGACCCGGAGGGTTCCTTATTTGATGAGGGCGGCGTTGATATCCACTGCCAAGCATCAATTGGAGTTCCACCGGGCTCCAGACCCTGGATTCCTTATCTAAGGGTTCCTTACCCAATGCCTCCACCGTATCACATATACCACAAGTTTCGGCCCCACCTGGGGGCTGCGACGGTTATCTCTGACGCTATCTCTCAGGCTCGCAGCGCACTTCGCGCTGCATTCAACATCCGACGAACGAACACGCCCCCCCAAGGCGGCGTGCGCTCCTCTTTTCCTTCTCCTCCTCTTCCGTCGCCTCCCTCGTTCCTCCTCGTCCTCGCCTTCCTCTTCCCTCCTGGGAACCTTCTGACGTGCGCCCGCCTGGACCTCGCAGTGTGCTGGAAGAGGGCGGCGCTGTCTCAAAAGTGCCAGAGGCGAGGTCCTGCCTGCTTCCCAGCAGGATGCGCGGCGTCGCACGCTCCGCAGCCTGTTGGCGGTTCGCACGCACCTGAACGGCGTGTAAGCTTGCAGCAGTCGGCGGAGCGTGCCACATAACATATCGCTCAGATCCCCTCCTGCACCATTCTTCCGGGGGCGAGGTCCGGACTGCTCGCAGGAGGACGCGTGGTGCCTGACCCGCGTCGAGGGCATGGTCGACAAGGTGGCGGAGCAGATCGGGTCGGATGAGAAAAAGGGTAGCCAGGGGGGAGCGAGCCCTCCCCTCCTCCCCTCGAGTTCTTCTTCAGGGATAGGGTGGCACCTTCGTCGCGGCCGGGCACGTCTCGCTCGCGGCTTCTGTGGCGGTCAGGGGATAGAGGGTGTACAGTCAAAAACCCTACTAAGGACGCGCGACTTTGCCCAGGGTACCCTTGCGTCCTTGCTCTTCCTTGCTCTTGCGTCCTTGGGGTTTTCGTCGTCCGCCGCCCCAAAAATCCCAACTTCGGCTTCCAAGGGTCTTGCGTCCTTACCGCGCTTCCTTGTTGGGGTTTTTGACTGTACGTAACTTTTTGTTCAACCGACTACGGCAGGTTCGTGCGGTGCTGGCGCGCCGGCGACGCCGGCGGAGGCGTGCAAGGTTGAGTTCTGGCGGCGCGGGAGCACCGATGGACACGGCAACGCCACTGGACCCGACGGAATTCAACCTGGAACGGTCGGGGCCGGGATCGGTTCAAGGTTGAACGATCGACGTGGTGTCACAGACCGTTGCGCGTGCCGACGCCACACGAATCTGCCGTACGTCGAATCGCTCGTTTCGTTCCCTCTCGCCTCTCCCGCTCTCCCCCGAAGATCGAGAATCTGGTCGAGATCAAGGGTCGAAGAGAATCTAAGATCGAGGAGAGGATCGAGATCGAGGGTCGAGGTGAGCGACTTTCCAACGCTACCCTTGCATCCTTAACCCTTTGGCGGATCCTTGGCGACTTTCGCTGGCCAGCCCCGTTAGAAAATGCCAAGTTGGCCCTCCAAGGCCCTGCTGTCCTTACCGCGCATCCTCACGATGCAACTTGACCGTACGTCCAATCGCTCGTTCTCGTTCCTTCTCGCCTCCTCCCCCCTCCCCTCCCTCCCTCCCTCCCTCCCCTGATCGGGGAGTGGGGCCTGCGCAGTGGCCGCCCGTGTGGGGGGGGGGGGGGTCCGAACTCCGCTGCGTGCAGCCGGTTTCGCCCCCGCCGCTCGTTCCCCCACGAGCTGGCGCCTCCTGCGCGGGTGGGCGCCGTCCTCGTCGGGATCTGCTTTTTGAGGGGGGGGGGGGGGCACGTTTTATGTCCACTCTTGCCTTCGCTGGCAGATTTGCACGACCACGTCGAGCACCGCTTCACACACCGCACTTCTGTGGCCACCGCAGCCGTCTGGGGGCGAGACGGGATTTGTTTCTGTTGGAGGGGGGGGGCACGTTTTATGTCCACTCTTGCCTTCGCTGGTAGATTTGCACGACCACGTCGAGCATCGCTTCTCACATCGCGCTCCCATGGCCGCAGCCTTCTGGGGGCGAAGAGCGCCTTATCATCTGGACAAAGGCCCCCGGGGTCTGAAGGGGTAGGGGGAACCCAGGACCCCTCCCTCCTCCTCCTCCCTCCTCCCTTCTCCTCCTCCCTCCTCCTCATCCTCCCTCCCCCTCCTCCCTCCTCCTCATCCTCCCTCCTCCCTCCTCCCTCCTCCCTCCTCCTTCTCCTCGTCCACCTCCCTCCTCCCTCCCTCCCTCCCTCCTTCCCTTCCTCCCCCTCCTCTTCTCTGAACAAGCGCCTGGACCCGCATTTGTCAGAAGTCGCGCGTCGCTGATATGCCTGTAGCCCCCGCTCTGCTGTACAGCCACCCCCTCTGGTCGCCCGATCCGAGCAGAGCAAGGTGGAGAATGCTGTTGCATCTGAGGCATTGTGTGTGTGTGCGCGATCGGCCCTGGGTATGAGATCGAGGTCGGCTCGGGGAGGGTGCCCTGGTGTTCGTCGTGCTCGTTGGATGTTCTTGTGCATCCTGTGTGTGTGTGTGCGTGCGTGCGGTCGGCCCGGGGTATGAGATCGAGGTCGGCTCGGGGAGGGTGCCCTTGGGGAGGAAGGGGGATGGAAAAGGGGGGGCCGCGAAATGTGCCGCGTGCAGCCGGCTTCGGCTCCGCAGCCCTGGCGCCTTCCTCGACACACCGCAGTTGGCGCAGAAGACGCCCATCCACAGACGTTGCGTCGACGGTGCCGCCGTGCCGCCTCCGGACCCCCATCTCAGTGTTGCCTTCGCGGCCGCTGCCGGGGCGCAAGCATCGGCAGAAAAGAGAAACGCCCAAAGCTCCACCGCCAAGGCAGCCCCGATTTCTCAACCTTGAATTTGGAGGGGCGCCTTCTGAACACACCTGCGTTGTCCAACGTGCCTGGTGGGCGTTTATTCAATCGCTTCGCTCATTCCGCCGGCCCTGGAGCCCTCTTCAGGGCCTCGTGGAGGCCTCTTGGGGACCTCTTGGGAGTCTCTTGGGGCTCCTTGGCGGCGTCTTGGGGGCCCCCAGGGCCTCTTGGGGGCTCTTGGGAGCCTCTTGGGGCGGGAGGGGGGGTAGTCGATTGCGGCTCCCCCCTCGGAGGCCACGATCCTCGTGAGGGATGTCGAAAAATTGCCCGGTCCGGCATCTCTGACCCGAGTCTGCCGGGACCCTGCCGGGGTCTTTTGCGTCCGGGGACCCCCAGGGGCCGCCCCGCGCGCGCGAAGTAGAAGTACTATTTAGCAATTACCGGAGATCTTAGCACGCCTCTGGCCCGTTGGACCGGCGAATTACGCCAACGGCGCCATTGGCGCCTTTCCCGACGGAGCCGCGTGAGCCGACTGACTGCGGCCGGGCCGAGGTATGAGATCGAGATCGGCTCGGGGAGGGTACCCTAAGGTTCTTCGTGTTTGTCGGAGGTTCTTGGGCATCCTGGGGGAGGCCCCCCTCGAATGCTCTTCCCAGGTATAAGATCAAGGCCGCCTCGGGGAGGGTACCCTGGTGTTCTTCGTGTCTGTTGGACGTTCCTGTGCATCCTGGGGCAGGGCGCCCTCAAGTGTTCTTCAGTTCGGGCCGGCGGAGGGTCTCATGCTCTTGAAGGATGCTTTTCTCAGGCGATCGGGGGGGTGGGGTAGCGACGGGTCCCGTTTCCATTGGAAATCGCGGATATCCGCCGCCGAACGAGGCAGCACCGGCCGCATTTAAGGGAGGGCACCTCCCCCGATCCATGGATTTGGTGACCGCGCGCCAAATCCATGGATCGCTAATCCATGTTTGCGCGCCCCCGATCTTCTGTCCTTGGTCCAGCTGTAGCGTTAAGTCGGGCATGTCCCTCCTGTTCTTTAAACTGGATCGGCATCCTTGGGGGCATTTTCCTGGCAACGAGTGGTTTGACTACTTTGCTTAGGCAGACGCATTGGTCCACGCTGTATCCAACGCGTTGGCGACGTCGCGTGGGAGTGCGCTTCAGGACGCGCGCGTGGAGGCTATGTTCATGGCGTGGTGCGCGCGCAAGATGGCTCATCGAGATGCGTTGGGTGATAGGCCCGCGCGTTCAGTGCATATACGGGCCCCCATGGCCCCTGTGGCTCTCACAAGGCACCGAGTGGCTGTCGGGGGCACCTTGTTCCAACGCAAAGAGTGTCTAGCTGTCGCCAGAACTCATGCTAGCCCTCATAAGTTGCTGTTGTCGGAGCGCGTGCCCGCGGCTCAGCAGCGGCTGAAGGCCCAGGGGGGCATCTTTGCTCCAGAGTGCCCCGCCTCTCAGAGCTCGCGCTGTCCAGGTTGCGTTAGAGTTCTGACGAGTATCTTGGCGGCGACGGTTCCGCTCGCGCGAATCAGGGGCCCGCGGGTGTCAGTGCGCCGATCGATGAAGCCATCGTCGAGCTCAATGGGCACTGAGTGTCGGTGACCCGCGGCGCGCTTGTGCGCGCCCTGCGTGGCTCCGATCAAGTGTCCTTTGGGCACCTCGCCAACTGTAGGCTCAGCAATGACCAGTGCTTAGGACCGTCCGAGCACCCCCCAGCCCGCAATAGGCAGAAATGCAATGTCTCTCGAGTGCGGGCTGGCAAGCACACCGAGACTGGGTTGCCTCTGGATGTCTTTCGATAATTTTGCTGCCACGCTTCGCGTAGGCATGGCGTGGCCCGTCTATGTGCGAGCTTGGCCCTGCGTTGGCCGGTGCTCCCGTCCGCGGTTGCGCGGCTCGGCCGCCCGGTCGTCCTCCTCGCCTTATCGTCCTCGTCCTCCTCGTCCTCGCCCTTGTCTTCCTCGCCCTCCGCGCCCACGCGTGCACTTGTCCTCCTCGCCCTTGTCTCCTCCACCCTTGCGGCGCAGATTCGCGGCATAGGTGCCGCGTGGAAAGCGGCTACGTTTTGTGCTGATCATCTGGCAGGATGCGGAGCCAGCGGGGTCGTCTGTTGCCTGGCTGACTTGCATCGCTTGGCGCGCTCACCGAGCCAATGGATGGATTTGAGGGCAGGTGGCCCCAGTTCATGTTCATGACACGCCGTTGTTGTTGCATTGTTTTCTCTTCGGGGTCTTCGTGGATCTCTTGCAGCTATGTCGTAGATCTGCTATGGAAGCGCCAAAGATCAGCGCAAAGTGCATGTGCTTTATTCCCCGTGGCGACGGAGAGCACAATGAGAGCGCGATTGAGGTTAGCGCACGGCGTGCGCGACGGCTGCGCAGGGGCAGCGTGGCGCGCGAGGGTCGTCGTCCCGCCGCAACTCTTTCCCCCTCCCCCTGGAGGTCGTCGCCGCCCCCCTCTCCTCCGTCCGCCCCCTCTTTCCGCAGGTGGTGATCGGCGATCTCGGCCGCGTGGAGACGGCGAACCCCTTCGCCAGGTTGCAGAAGAAGCCGCGCCCCAGCGACGACGAGATCCATGCTCGCACGGCCAATTACAGGCCTCCAGACGTCTTCCCAGGGGGCCAGCGTTGTCAAGAAGATTTGGACATGTGGTCCCTCGGGTGCGTGGCCGCGGAGTGACATGCGCGCGCCAGCCGCTCTTTTGCGCCGCGCGTTGCAGAAAACTCGCGGATGCCATCGCGGCGATCTCGGGGCCTCCAGGCAGCGAGAGAGAGGGGCCGCGGATGACATAATGCCCAGCCACGTGGCTGGATTCCTTGTCTTTCTTCAAGAAGTGGCACGGGCAGTCGGGCGAGGCTTGGCCGACGGCTGAAACAGCGAAGCCCCCGCGGGCGCGGCCCTCTCCCAGCTTCGAAGGCTGCCCCAAAGGTCTCGCCCAGCTCGTCGACCAGTTGTTGGCGTGGCTGCGGCCCGCGAGAATGGGCATTGCCGAGACGAAAGCCAACTGCTTCTACAGCTGCCTGGCCAGGTGCCGCCGCGCGTCCGCCTGGCAAAGCAGCCCGGCAATAATGGTGCCGGAACGATAGCGGAGGGAGGCCTCGACCCAGATTTGCTCCGCTTTTTGCAGACGTGCCCCAGCTGGAACAGCCCACCCAAGCAGCGCCTGGAGACGGGGGCAACCCATTCCAATTGCGCTCGAGGGAAGGAGGCGGCACGGGTTTTCAAAACCGAGGTCGCAGGCATCGCGGGCGAAGAACCCCCCATCAGTGCCGCGCCCTGAACAGGGGCGCGAACTTGCATCTGATCCCGTCGGTGCGCTTCGCCGCTTTCGCGCGAGCGATGCGGGCTCAGCGGCGCCCTCGGCTGCAACAGCTGGGCGCCAGAATGCGCGAGGCGGTCCGCGACGACAACGTGCTAGAGCAGCCCGTCCTGCCAGAGGACTTCGCCGACAACGCGTTCGCGCACTCGTCGATCCAGCTTATGAATCCAGGCGCGCGGGACGATGGTTGGCACGCAGGCGGCGGCTGCTCCTTGCTGCGTGCGTCCGCGGCGTTTTTCGGCGCGCGCGCTCCGTGGGATTGAAGGTGGAAGGCCAAGAACGAATCACCCTCAACCGAGAGCCTGGGTCCTTCTACGCGGGGAACCTGTGCGCCCTGGGCCGCAATGCGCGCAGCCACGAGGAGTGCAAGCGCACTTTCGACGGACCGGCTGCAACGGCAAAGACCGACGACGCCGACGACCTGAGGCTGCAGATCGCCGCCACGTTCCGCTCCGACGTGTTTCGGGAGGTCAGTGCGCGCAAGATCAACTCCACGCCTGGCCCTGCGGAGTTCTTCCGCGTCGTGAATTACGCTGTGGCCCAACACTTAACACTTGGCCGAGGTCCCCGTGGCGCTCCCTGACCTGGCGGAGGTGCTGGCCGAAGTGTCGCGCACTGACCGCGTGAGACAGCAGGCCACCCCTGCTTCTGGCCTGACCGATTATACCCTGGCTTCAACACTCCCAGACACTTTGGACCGAGACCTGCGGGAGTCTCGCGATTGCTTGCAAAAACATGTATCCGATCTGCCTTCCCCCGTCCTCTGCCGAAGGTCGGCGGTTCTCTGGCGATCCTGGACGACGATGACGAGGATGATGATGATGATCATGACGGTGATGACGATGGCGATGACGATGGGGTGACGAGGACGATGATGCTGATGAGGAAGACGATGCGGTGATGATGACGACAACGATGGCGGTGATGATGTTGATGACGATGATGGTGATGATGCTGATGTTGATTGTGAGGCGACTGAACCTGAACAGGCCGCCGTAGTCCAATCCAGTCATCATCATCAGCATGATCATGATCATGATCAGGATGCTGTTGCAACACCATGCGTTGGGCAAGTCTTGCGTTTGAGTAATGCTGCTCTTTCGAGGTCGTCCGTGGAAGGAAACCACGCCGGTTGGAACACACTTGGGGCCAACTCGGGGCCGCTTGAAGGCATGCTGAAGGCCACATTGAGCCAATCGGGACCACATTGTGCCATCGTGGATGCACTCGAAAGGCATATGGTGCCATCTTGAAACCAGATTGGCCCTAAAGCTTCCCGGACAGTACCACTCCCAGCGTCTAGTGTGTATCAGTGATGCTGTTGTGGGAGGGGGGGTGTCGTAAATTCCAGCCTCCCCCGTCCAAGAACCGAAAATCCCCTCTTGGGGCCGTCTTGATGCGTTCGCTCTTGGGCGCCTCCTGTGGCCGAATTGGAGCCTTTATGTGTCCCTACGGCTGCCCTCTCGTGCGATGTTGGAGCCACACGTGTTGACACCCCAGATGCGCAGCGAGAAAATGAGGCGAGACACAGTCTCCGTGCACCACGTTGGTTTCAGAATGGGATGTGGCTTTCGGGCCGCTCCGTAGGTCTAGGTCGGGAAGCGTGCTCGTGGCCGAGGTTCGCCGTGTCCAGAGAAGCCCTTTCGCTCCGCATTTGGCGCCCTTCCTAGTAGCACGGCGACTGCCATTGTAGAAGCCACATGTGGCCCGGGGGGCCTCGAGCCCCACCCCTGAGGGCCCATGTCGATCCGATCGACCCGGTTCGATGCCGATAATGGCCGGCCCGACCTGCCTCGATTCCGACTTCACGACAATCCGATGCGGCCCGATGTCTGCACGACGCTGCTGTGCATCCTGGCGCGGCCGATCCTCTTCGATCCCGACTCTGTGCCGACGCGGCCCGCTTCGCTGCGTGTTCCGAGCTGGTGACACATCCAGCCTCCATGCTGATTGATCCTGCCCCCTTGGCATCGGCACGAACGAAATGGGCACGGAGAGAGTGGGTACAATGGCCAACAACAGTTCCTGTTCACTCTGAACAGGACTCGCTGTTGGTGTCGCCGCGGCCTGTGTCCATTCGAGACAGAAGGCCGCCTGCCCAACAGCGGCCGCTGTCGGTTTGGGACAACATTTGTTGTTGGGCGTTGTACCCATTTTTTCCGTACCCATTCCGGGCCCCCAAAGGTTCCATGCTGACTGATCTTGCCCCCTGGCAGCCCCGCCAAGGTGGTGGCAGGCTTCCACGCCACCGTGTTCGCGTACGGCCAGACAGGCTCTGGCAAGACGCACACCATGGAGGGCTTCACCTACGGCCACCACAACGGAGCGGGAGGGTTTGCGGGGCCGGACATGTGACGGCGTGGGTTTTTCGGGGCTCGAGAGACGGTTGTCAATGCAAACGGGGGCCAGTCACAGCGCCGGATCTCGCAGGATCCTGCAGAGCCAGGGTTGCATTGACCTGGGCTTGGAGGCAGGGACCTACAAGATCTTGCAGGATGTTGCGGGATCCTGCAAGGCCTGATTGGCCCAGGTCTGGATTGACACGGGTCAGTTGATCCGCGTCAACCCAGCGCGACAGCATATCACGCGGCGCAGGGATGGTGCAGCCTGCGGCAAAGCCCAGGGCGCGGCCCAAGGTGCAGCCAATGGCGCATCGCGCACCCCCCGATGCAACCCATGACGAGCACTGGTGCAGCAAACGTTGCAACTTAGCGAATGCAACGCGAATCACGGCTCAACTCACTACAAAAGCCGCGGTACAATCAGTGGCGCGATCAATGGGGTTAGCGCACGGTGTCCACATGGAGCGTCCCATGGCACGCCCACGACGCGCAGCGCACTCGCGGGACGAACCCCGGCGTAACAAATGGCGCAACCTACCGCGCACCTACAGCGCCATCTATGGCGCCAATCTTGGCTGGCCAGAACAAGGCGCGCAAAACATGTCGCCGTTTCTGGCCCAAGTCGCCCCGTTGGAGAAAAGTTGCGGTGGTAATGTCGAAGCGCCCTCGGCTGGCTGAGCTGGCAGGCGCGAAATGCGGGACCGCATCTCACCACCCACCAATCCACTCCAACCCAACCCGAAGGCCTCCATTTGCCCTCCATTTCCAGTGGGTGGGGGGGAGGTCGGGGAACATCGAAAAAACGCATGGACCCCGTACCCCCCCAACCCGAAATTCGAGTCAAATGCGGGTCTTCGGGTTGGGTCGGGGTGGTCTGGTAGGTAGCCAGCATCTGCCCTCAGCGCCATCCTGAGGAAGGTCCCTGAATGATACGCGGAGCTGGAGGGCGCGTCCAGGCGCAGCTGCCGCGCGGTTCTTGACGGGGAGCTTCAGACCATGAGTTATTCTGTTGTCAGCTCTTCACCACGAGCACCGCTTTTGATGGGCCTGTTTTCCACCACCGCCACCATAAGTTGGAGGGAGGAGGAGGAGGAGGAGGAGGAGGAGGAGGAGGAGGACGAAGAGGAGGACGAAGAGGAGGAGGAGGAGGAGGACCCCCTCCCCCTTCGTCTTATGGTGGTGGCGGTGGAAAACAGGCCCATCAGCCTTGCCCAAGGCTCACGGCGCGGACCTCATATGGGAAGTGCCAGATCCGCTGGCTGTCTTGAATGGGGTGCGTATGCTTGACCCAGACTTCATGCGAGGGGTTGCACCAAGTGTCATCCATCAGGCGCAAATGGCGCTTCGGCTTGCGCCCTCAGGCCGCTGAGAACAACGGCATACTGGAAGGCACTGCCAATCCAGTCCAGTCAGGCAGTGAATCTGCCAGCAATTCAGTGATCCAGTCAATTACGCACGTTCTTTGCAGGCAAGCAAAGCTGAGCGGGTTGCGCACGACATGCACACGCAACGCGCGATGAAAAACTTGATCTCCACCAGCCCGAATGAAAATGTACCGTCCCGACGGAGAAAAACACCCTGACGGGAAGGGCACCGTCCCGACGGAAAACGCACCAAAACGCACCATCCGACAGAAAAGGCGCTGATGAAGTCCCGCCAAGAGATTTGTAAGTCACCCAGGATACCACGTGGATTTCGCGGTGACTTACAGGTGCACCAGAGCCTGCACGAGCACCCCCCGCCCATTCTGGCACCCCACGCCGGCTCGGAGGCGTGCCCCCGATGCCTCCCTGTGCCCCCGACTTAGATCCAGGTGCACGCGCGGTGGCCGGCAGGGCCTCGCCCTCGAGCGACGGGGAGGCTTCGGCAGCTCTTCCCCAGGGGCCACACGGGCGTGGGGCGCGGGCGTCTCCGACGGCGGGAGGCCAGCGGAGGCCGGCGGAGGTCACTGCGGCCGGCGCTCGGGGCTCCAGAGGCGGGGGGGGATCATGCGAGCGGGGGGGCGTCAGAGCGCCGGATCTTGCAGGGTCCCACAGGGCCAGGGTTGCACTGACCCGGGCTTGGGTGCAGGACCCCGCAGGGTCCTGCAGGATCCTGCAGGATCCTGCAAGGCCTGATCGACCCGCGTCTGGATTGACCCGGGTCATTGCCGCTCCGCCCATGGCCGTGTGGAGGCCCCTGTCCCGCCGTTGCGTTCCCCGCCCTGTCGGGACGGATCGCCGGCCTTCTGCAGGATTTTGGGCAGGCCCCGCCTGCGGCCTCCTCCCAGTCCATTTGGCTTCCATCCGCTCTTTTTCGTGACGGCGCTGCCGCTGGCCCTGTTCCCTCGCTGCCCCCGCCCCCATGCGGCCCCCCCCCCCCTGGGGTACCCAGGCCGCCAGCCCTCTGGCGCCTCGCAGGTCCGTGGATCTCGCTCGGTGCTCCTGCTCGCCCTCCGCCCTGCTGGCTCCTCCCCGCGCTTCCCGGGGCTGCTCGCGCTGCCGCCCCTGCTCGGCGCGCCCGCCCTCGGCTGCCCCGCAGCTGCCGCCGGGGCGCCTCGGAGAGGTCGCGCCGCCCCGCCGCGGACCGGGCGGAGGCCCCTGCCCCGCCGCTGCCTCCCCCGCCCCTGTCGGGACGCATCGCCCGCCACTGCAGCTTAAGTTGTGCAGGCTTTAAGCCTGTGGCTTCCGCCCGGTCCGTCCGGCCCCCCCTCCTCTCGGGGGTCCATAGGGGGGTGGGGGCCGCCGGCAGCCTCCCGGGCCGGTCCACCCCTTATAAGCCTGCATGTGGCTTTCAGGCCGGCCTGCGGGGCCTGCTTGCTCGCTGCTCCGCCCTTCGCGGTCCCTCGTTTTGGGCACCCATGGTCCGCCTCTCGCGCCGGGCAGGTCTGCGGATCTCGGCGCTTCCGCTCCCTCGCCTGCTGGGCCTTTCCCGGCCCCCTCTCCCGAGGTGGCCCCCCCCCGCAGCTCTGGCGCCTGGAGGTCGACTCGATCTCGGTGCTCGGCCGTCGCTCTGCGCGGTGCGTCCCCAGCACTGCCTGGGCCTGCCCTCCCCCGCCTCGCGCGGCGGACCCTGGCTGCTGCCCGCCCCCCGGCTGCCCCGCTGCTGCCGCCCTGGCGCCCCGGCGTTGCCCTGCCGCAGCCTGGCCCCGCTCTGAGCGGGCCCGGCTTCCTCCTCCCTCCCGCCCGCGCCGGGCCTTCCCCCTTCTCCCCCGTGCACTGCGGCGTACTTGGCAGCAGTGCATCCTACACTGGCCCCACCCGCCAGCGCGGCCACTCTGCCTAGCCACCTACGCAAAGTGTGTGTGTGTGTGTGTGTGTGTGTATATGTGTGCGCATCTTGGAGGGGCACAGTACTGCTCACCTCGGGTGCGTCTTTGGTCTCGGGTATCTTCATGGGGCCCCGGGCCTTCGGCCTATGGGCTCGCATTCTCGGGCCACGATCCTGTGACCGCGCTTCGGCTGCACGATCGGAGGCCAGCCCTGGTCAATACGTGGCGGCTTGCCAGCGCAAGCGCAGAGGACGGGCAGTGGAAGCAGGCTTCGCCGTGATCGGCGAGATCGGAGAGTCGGGCCGGACGAATGGGTGGGTTCGGTGAAGGAGGGGGGTGGCACAGCTTGTGTATGCAGCTGGTTTCGGCCCTGCCGCCAAGCGCTTCCCTCGATACGCTGGCGCCTCCGGGGCCGGCAGGTGCTAGTACAACTAGCTGCTTACATGAGTTGATTCGCTATTTTCCCTTGGGCATCTTCTGTTGTCCGTCCTGAGAGGGCGAAGGTGGATCCCAACGTCATGTATTTGAGAAGCCCAAAATGTTTTCGGGAGGGCTCCGGGAAGCCCCAGAGTGCCCCGATGAGCACCAACGATGGCCCGTCCATCTCGAGAAGACCTCCTGAATCTGCTCCTTCTCCTGCCCCTCCCTTCCCCTCCCCTTCTCCTTCTCCTCCTCCTCCTGCCCCTCACTCCCCCAGCTTTTTATGAATAGCTTTTCCCTGTCGCACCCGCAGACGTGTCGGTAGGGCGGGCTGGCTGTTTCGCTTGAGACTTTCTCACCATTTATGATCCTGAAGCGTGGGATCTGCAACAGCTTCACGGATGGAGGCCGTCTCGTTTTCAAAGTATGGTTTTCGCCTTAGCGCCGCGCGCATTCGTTTTATTATTTTGCTGCAGGTTTGACTGATGGAGGGCGACGTTTTCAGAATGTGGCTCTCGCTGTAGTGCCGCGCAAATTCGTGCTAAAAGCTTGCAACAGCTTCACGGATGGAGGGCGGGTTTTTCTCAAAATGTGGTTTTCCCAATAGCGTTGCGCACATTCGTGCTGCAATATTGCAGCAGCTTCACGGATGGAGGGTGTGCGATGCTCAAAATGTGTTTCTCGCACGAGCGCCGCGCTTGCTTGTTCCAGAAAGTTGCAACAGCTTCAACGGTGGTGGCGGCTCTTTTTCATAATGTGACTTTCGCGTTTCCGCCGCGCACATTCGTTTCAACATATTGCAGCAAGTTTAGCGAACCGCATGGTTGAAGTCCCAGGAATGGCGTTCTAGCGTTACTTAGGAATATCAGGACACAACAGTCACGTTGATTCGCGGTGTTGAAGTCCCAGGACGTGTTCTGGAAAGACTTAGGATTGTCAAGACGCAGCCGTCACGTTGATTCGCGGCGCTAGAGTTCCAGGATTGGTGTTCTGGCGCGGTTGAAGATTCTGCCGAGGATTCTCAGACCAATGTTTTCCAACGGGGCATGTCGCGCAATGGAAACAGATTCTTGTAGAACCCTAGGAAGAAGGACCTTGGAGGAAAGGCTCATTGCAACGTCGTTGATGCGTCTCGGGCCTACACTGGTCCTCCTCTTCCTCCCTCCGCCTCCTCCTCTTCCCCTCCTCCCCCTGCTCTTCCTCTTCCCTTCCTCTCCCCCCTCCCTCTCTTCCTCCTCCTTCCTCTCCTCCTCCTCCTCCTCCGCCTCCTCCTCCTCCTCCTCCTCCTCTCCACTACTCCTCCTCCTCCTC